TTTTTATTCCCCCCCTTTTTTTTTTTTTTTTTTAAATTATCTTGCTTTGCTTATCATTACTTAATTACAAGGTGAACATACTGATAAAGAGCACTACTTAAAATTTTCATTGAGTCATATTACTGCTTTACAGCTGCTGAATTTGTAGGTTTAACAATCATTTTCACAAAGCAGCCACTTGGAAATCTCTTCACCAGATGAAGCTCCTAAATAACTTTTAAAAATTTGCTTTAATTTTTAGTTTCAATTTTTATTTTTCTAATTCCTAGGGCAAAATTAGTTACAATCAACAGGTTCTTCCAGGTTTCAGATAGACCAAGATGGTTTCATTGCACACTATGGATACTTCTAGCAGTGAGGAACATCTGCACATTTCCCTTCAACCACGCAGTCAAACCTGAACTACCTTACACCAGGAGACGCTTTGGAATTCCTTCAAAGCTTGAAACAAACAGCATCCAAGTCCAGCAAGTGTGTAAATCCCCAAAAGTCCCAGACCAAGTGAAGCAAAGCGTTAAAATCATGAACTGTAACATGAAAAAAAAAACCTCTCAGAGCAATACTTACCCAGGAAATGTTGATCATTTGTAAAAGTCTCTTTGTAAATGACAGGACCTCACCTTCCATTACATCTATATCAGCTTCTAGAATGGAGTTCACAGAATATCTACACACGCCCAACCATTTTTGGAAGATTTTTTTTTTTGGTTTACGCTCATTGCAGCAACAGCATAAAGGCCTGGATAAACTAGGGCAGAATTTCTAATACCTCTGGACCCTTTCCCACTTGCTAACTTGCTATACCTCATGACAGAGGGTTGCTTCCTCCCCTGAAAACAAAAATCCTTCACACAAGATGAGTAAGACTGGAAGGATTTGTAGGTCTGCTGGTGTCCCTGGAAAGCATCCTGCTTCATTATAACATAATTAGCTAAGAATAGCTCGTTATCGTTCTGTTAACACCCATCTTGGAGCAGGAAAGGGAGAAGTCTTACCATGTACAGCACTCGTGTTTCAACTGTACCTGTGTGGTGCAAAGACTGAAAATAGCTGACTTAGCTCAGGATTTGGGTGACACTGGGGCTGAAAACAGGGACCGAATCAGCAATCAGTCATTCAAAAGAAATAAGCCATTACCATTTCACAAAAAAAAAAAAAAAAAAAAAAAAAAAAAAAAAAAACACCCAACTAAAAAACCCCCCAAAAAACCAAAACAAACCCCAAACCAATTATACTGGAATATATTGAATTTATGCAGAAATTCAGACCTTTACTAGACTAAGAAATATTAAAAAAACATCAAAAGAAGAAAGTTTACAGGATTTACCTACAGTGGTCACTACAGCTGGCAGTATTTCCTATTCCCTGTGACAAAAACAAGGGATGCAGAACATCAGATACAATCTGGTAAATGTTAACTCTGCAAACGTAAATGCCAACCAATCCCTCTTTCTTGGCTGTCACGGCAGCTGTGCAGCAGACCTCACGTACAAGAACCCTTGGACCATAAGCAGATAATTCACTTCACTAACACCTCTTCAGAGTCAACCTTATACCTGCCCATCAGTAAAACTGATGGATCCTTCCGTTCCCATATTCATTAGGTTTTTCTTTTCCCACAGGATTGTTAGGATTTTAGGCTAGCAAAGAGGGAATCAAATGGCTACTCCTTCTTTGTGACTTTGTCTACTCCTTTAGACTCCGCCTCTTTGAATTTTATCTCCATTTTGTACGGAGCAGAAACAGACCGGACAAACACCAACAAACAGCAATACAGGGTGTAAAAACAACCTCCCAACTTCCAGCGGCCACAGTCTTCACAAATAAGTGGTATTTTGAATCGGAGAAATAGTTGTGCAGTTTCAGAGAACACGGATGTATTAATACGCAACACATAATGCTCTACGACATGGCTACAGAAACTGAACGCAAACCCCCTGCTTCTTATAGCCCCTTGGCTAAAAATGCGCCCTTTATTCATTTGTATCTTGGAGCCCAAACATGCAAAATACATAAGGTTGTGTCTTTATAAGCTTGAATTTCACGTGTTGACCAGCCGAGTAACATTTTGCCCCGAAGAGATGTAGTAACGAAACCCACCAAGAAGTGCAAGTGAATTAAAAAAAAACAACCAAACAAACAAACCCCACAAAGAAAATCTACATAAATCACACCTTTAAACAGCAGCAAAGGAATATAAGAAGTCAAAGGCGTTTCTTCATGTCATCTCAATTCTGAATCTTTACTGAATCTTTAATCATCCCTTACCTCATCACCATACACATATCTGTGGACCTTGTCAGAGCCATTACAAACTGCAGGGCCAAAGAACCTTCTTGAATCTTTTATTTTCAGCCAAAAAAAAAAAATCCAGTAGTTCTTCCTTTATTGCACTCTATAAAACTTCTTGTTATAATCAAGAAGCCAATAAACAGTAGTAGCTGAATATTCCTTTAAAATTTATAGTTTAACTCTTAAAATAAAATTTATATAGAAAAGATATCATTTACAACCCATTCAGTAGTAATCAGTCATTATGTACTCACAAACAATATTAAATAACTTGTATGCAGCAGTTTCTTTATAGGGCAGAGGGGAATATTTTCTCCTTAGCAAATATAATATTCCACTGTTAAAGAGCAATTCAAGTCAACTTTGGAGCAACTATGATATACACAAATTTCTTTTAAGAAGCTCAGGATTCCTGTAGTGTAACAAGAATATATACAACTGTGTCCAGTGCATAGCTTAACAGCAGCATGTGAAAAGTCTATTATCTTAAATTGGCACACCATTACCTACAGGGAAATAATTTACCCAGAAAATGCAGTGTATTCAGAGAACACCAGTGAGGCACAGTAAAACAACAAGATGTAGCGTAACTAGGTAGGTGAGGAATAAATAGCGGGATTTTGCTCTGGAGGTCAGCAGCTTAGAACAGTAAAGACTTCGCCCTCGAAGCCATCTTCGGAAGGAAAGGGCTCCTCCTTTCATCTGGTTAGGAAACAGAAGAGGTCAAATAAGTAATCGTGAATACAAATGAGAAGAAGCTCCACTGCAACTTAGATTTCTGAGGCACTACAAACCCTTTGCCTCTGATGCAGCAATGGACACCACAGCACAGGCTGTAAGCACAAAGGATTTAAAAGCCAAAGAAACCAGCATTTATAAAAAGGGAGATCAATGGACAGAGGGTATGTGTGTATTATTTAATTGCATATACATCCTAGAGATTAAAATGCATAATGATATGCATACGCATTTTATTTAGTGGCCACATATGTAATACAAATATGACTACTCACATTTTAATTTGTACATACGTAATGTGTTCTATGGCACAGTTTACACAGCTTCCTGTATTTGACTCATCATTCACAACCCAAACAAAGAAATTAAGGGCATTTTTTTCAGTAAAATGTATTTTCAGTAACAGTTTGCTACTTTGAATGCATGCCTCTGTGGCCTACCCACCCCCATGATACCCAGCATTAAGAGTACTTTGCAGTCAGCTTTTCAGAGACAAGGCAGATCAGACAAGTAACTGCTCCGTGCCGGTGTTCACATGTAAAGAGCACAACCCAAAATCAGTGACTCCCAGTCAGTCAGAAGGGAAATCCGCACTCCGAGAATGAATGACAGTAGAAAGAAAGGTATAGCAGAGGGAAGACAATAACAAAGAAAGGAGTAGCATGATAGCTATGCTATCTTCAATCCAGTCTGCAACTGGCAGTATACAATACACACGCCACTTAAGTAGCTTATAACGCAGGGGGTTTGAAGTTTTCATTTACTTACCTTCCGCACGATAACATGTTCACTAGGATTGATGATTAAGGCTTCTCTCTCCTCCTCAGTTTCCATCTGAACAGCATATTCACTAGGTACAGACCTGTAACTGCTTACTTCAAATCTAGAGAAAAGTTAAAGGATAGACAATGGAGCTCTTCTGAAGTACTGAATTCACACAAGAAACATTATTTTATATACTTACATTACTGGGGGAAGGTCCCCACAAAAAGCAGTAAGACTTAGTTTGTGTTGCCCGGTCTTTTTCAGTCTCTATTTGCAATCTACTTTCAAGATGGTTTTTTTATTCAGAATAACCCCCATCATCACTAGCTGACTGAAGAGTGATTTTCAGATGATGGTAGCGGTGGCCCCTTTATGTATGCAGATGGATAATGATATCTGAAATCTAAACAGTGGCTGTACTAAAGCTGTTTATTTATGTGAGATTTTTTCTAACTCAGGGGAAAAAAAGAAACACCACTCACTACCGAGTCCAACATCTGAAGCAAGAAATTAAATACAGAAAAAAGAATCCCAAAGCCCATAACATTTCTTGATCCACAGAGTTAGACCTTGCTTTTTAACACAGTTACACATGCATTTTCATTGCTTCAGGTACTGAGAACTCACAAACAGGTGCTGTTATTTGTCTGTTCTATTATTTGCTCAGAAATCTAACACCCACAGGAAAACCTATCACTAATCTCACTAAAAATAAAAGGCAAACAAAAAAATCTGACACTTTTCCAGGTCTGTAGTACGCTTTGCATTTACTCCAGGCACAGTGTAAATGAAAACCTCGCCATGCATTTGTCCAAGGGGAAGCAGAAGCGAAAGATGGCTTCGGCTCTCTGAACATGCAAGTTATCTCATACCAACCTAAGGGTTTAATGCAGCAGTCTAGCTGTCACATACTTCAAAAGTATAAGAAAAGAAATAAGTTTTAGAGATGCTTTTCTTTCAAAAATAAAAAAAAAACCCCGTGTTTTACAGACAGGAGTATTTTACCTGTTAATTCGCTCCTCAGAGAGTCCAAGAGCCTCTTCTGCAGCTTCTCTCCTCCTCTTCTCTTCTGACAGTGTTTCTGTCAGCTGGGAGAGCGCCTGCTGCACTGAATCATATTGTTGCTCAGTCTCTGTAAGCCTACAATAAAATGAAATCTGAAATCAATATTTTATGTACTTTGATAGTTACTTTCTTGTCCTTTTTTATTAAGGAATGTTCTTTTTTGTGATGAAGACTTAATTATAATGAGATGCTTTAGATTAGATGTTGAAATAAAGTCACCAATAAGTATATATCTTTACAAAAACAAACCACAAATATTACCAGATAATAATAATTCACAAATATGACTACGATTCATTTAATCCACTGTAAATCCACTTCTTTCCTTTTTTCCCTAAAATGCCTTAGAGGGAGAGAAAAGCATTACTTTCACACTTAAAACACAGCTGCCAGGGAAACAATATTGTTAATACATGCTCTCAGTCCTGACCTTTTTCGGAGTTCATTTAGCTCCGTATTGTCTATTTCAACAATAACTGCAGATCTTTCCTGTGGTGCTCCAGGGGGAACTTCTACTCTAGTTTCATCCTAGAAAATATTGAAGAGGAAAAAAAGCCAGTCACGACCATTTTTCTAGTTACTAAAAGTCTTTATTTTAATTAAAGAAGCCATAAGCACCGCAAAGCGGTGGAACAAACCACTCTTTGTGCCATTGAATCTTTTAAATTCCAGAGCTGCAATTTGCCAAACCTGTTTTCTAACAGGAAGTTGATGAAGAATACTGCCTCTGTGTGTTGCAGGACTTGAAGGATACAGGTATACTGCATAACACAGCAATCTCTGAACACCAAGTGGAAGAAATGGATCTACAGGTGCACACAGTAACAGAGCACCAACCACGGTCTCGTAAGTAATGCAGCTATTGCACTAACAGAATCTGAGACAAAATACCCATGTGGTATCGCACCGTGCCATATAGACATGCCAGCTCACACAGCGGTAGCAGAAATATTTTGCACAGGATTGCGTTCTTTTTCTCACATTTGTGGACTTTGTTCCAGGTACATTAACTTCTACATTGTATTTCCAGTCCTCATAATACCCTCCGACTACCTGGACTGGTTACTGCAGCTATAGCTGCCTAGGTCACTGCTACAGCCTAACACGCACAGCAGAGCAGAAATCCCTGGACACGCAGTAGGACTAGGACAAGTCATGAGCAAGTTGGGATCACCAGTCAGGGTGGCACTGATTAACTGTGTGGCAGCAATGGCTGTATGCAAGTGAAGAGGTGATGCTAGGAGTCTGAAGTTTCCCTTTTATCCTCTCTCAGACAACCCAGGCCTCACATAAAGCTTAAAGCATCCCCATTAGCAATGTTTAAATTCAGAGCTAGCGAGCTCTAGGCAGCGTGGAAGCACAGGGAGCTGTGGTTAAGCAGCCCCATGCTTTGCAATCAATACATGAAAGAGGTAGACTCCAGTTGGGCTGCAAGATAAGAAGCAGGGGTTTCATTTATTTTGTAGTTTACAGTTCTCCTTGTTTCTGTTTATTTCCATTTACGGAAAAGCAAGGGTTGTTTTATATATGTATCCATATGATATTTTAGGGTCTTAGATTAATTGATTGTTACTGAATAACCAACAGGAAAACCTTTGAAAAACAAAGAGATAACAAAGGAACGAGTTTACACATGTTACGAGGGGTTGGCAAAGGGTACTGAAGTGCTGAACTGGTGATACAGATCTCACTTCTGAAAATTTTACTCGAACACCTTGCAAAATGATTCATGACTCCTGGGAAATTATCACTTAACTGTGCTGATCCAATGTTTAGTGATCATCCAATTATCTCTGCCAGCTGTAGACCAATTCAAGATGATACTTCAAAACAAAGCAAGCGTGTATAAACAGCTTCCTTAAATGAAAAGTCAAATAAAACCAGCTTTACAACAATAAAGACAGTTATCTCCAGTGCATCATGGGCTAGCAAAAGTACTGAATCTGTACAACAGAAAGCATTTATTTCATTTTTAGCATGAAAACCAGAGAAGTGTAAGCACAGAAGAAAAAAAATCAAAAACATTTCCATATATTTGTTTACCTGAACAGTGCCTTGGAAAGATGTCACTTGTATGGTCTGATATTCCCTCTCCAGTCTTAAATAACGATTCTGCAAGTCAGTGTAACGAAGCTGGTTATCTCTTAGTGTCTGCGAAAGAGTCTTCAACTGGGCAGACAAGACTGCATTCTCTTCTGCTGACTGCACAACCTGAAGGAAATTAACATTTAAATAAATAAAATTTAAGAATTATCTCCTCCAGGAAATTACTACAGATTTGAGACCTGCTGTTGAAAACAACTGAGTACTAGTTTCAAAATTGCATCAACTTTTTGGGAAGCTCACAGTTTGGTGCCATTTAACTAGCAGCGGAAATTTAATTTACAATTTAACTGAGCAGCAGAAATAATGAAACCTGAGGATTGATTTCCCCTGTCATCCGTACGCCCAAAGCAGAAACTCGGGGTTTTAAACCCCAATGCCTTCCCTCCCTGTGTTTGCTGTAATATCACCACCTGGCAAAAGGCAGTATACATAATTACTACTTCACAACAATGCATCTACCTAAATAAGCCTGATAATGTAAACATGTTCACCAGGCAGTCTAGGAATGCACAGCAATTGAGTTTTCATGTTCTCAAAACCATGATTTGGGCCTCCACCCATTACCCAAACAGTCTTCACTTGTAGAAGCTTGAGATTTTTTTACACCTGTTTCAATGTTTGGTTAAAACTGTTAATAGGTTTACAAAACATTTGGGTGAAAGAGTGAAAACAGACACAATAACTGATGCAAAGTAACATAAATCTAATTTGCTTGGAACACCAGGCCACACAGAGAGATGCATTAAGGGCATTTCCAGCAACGTTTACAAACTTTTGCGAACAAAAGTGAACACAAACACACATATGCATGCAGACACACAAACACACTTGCCCTCCTAACAGCCACAAAAGGGTTCATTCAAGAAATTATAAGGAAACATTTTTGAGGTATTTAAAATTTGGGACAAGAAAGCTAAAATCTTGTTCCAGCTAAGACAGACATCTGTGTCTGTCTATAACGAAAAATATTTCACTTGGAGCAGAAGTTCAGCAGCACCCCATCAATCTCTTCAGGATGCAGATTCAAATAAACCTCTCTCAGTCAAATAACAAGTCAGGAAAGCCTGACAGAAAGATAACACTGCCATTTAGTTTGCAATTTCTAGTATGAGCCAACAGGGTTGTTTTGAAGAATCTAGTTTTAAAGCACTCTAACTTTCAATTATACAAGACACCGCCAATTTAGCAGTATTTCTCTGTTGATACCAGCTCAGATTTCACAGGAGCTATTTAGGATCACAGCTGTTGTTCTAAGTTACCTTTGAATTAATCTGCTGGAAATGCAGATCCTTCTGGTGCATCTCCTGAAGACAGCGCTGCAGTTCGTTCTGAAGCTGATTCTTCTCAGCTAAGACTTGTTTGATCTCCTCTGGCACATCTGCACTTCCAGCAAGGGAGGTGGTTTCTAAAACCTTAAAAAGTATTAGCATATTCAGGGTAAATGGCATAGGAGTCCTCTAAATACTATACAACTCCAACACTAAATATACCTATGCACTACATCATAGTTTCCTTTTCAGAAGATCATTGCCTTCTCACAAGTTAATACCATATTTGCAGGCAACCATAGATAAAAAAAAAAAAATGTTTCCACTTTCGTGAAACACAGTGTTTTCAACTGAAATACTTCAATTGAAAGAAAACAATAAAAAATTACCATAAAAAGGCAACCCAGTTTAATTTTTGATTTGCAAATACTCTGAAGCGCACACACGCACAAAAAAAGGAAACAAATATTAAAAGCCAGGTGAATATAAAACACCTTACAAAAATTATTTTCAAACTAACAATGTATGGTATTCATGATTTGTAAAAGAAGAGCTATTTTATAAATAGTAATTTAAAGCTGAAAGTCCATTAAAAAAACCCAAAACAAACAACCCAACTTTATCACTGATTCCCAACTTTACCACTGAGCTTTGGCCTTCTTTATCTCTGGCAGGCCAACATTCTGATGTTAATCTCCAGTACGGGAGGGAAGTGTGCCACCTCTAATGCTTTGTGGAATCTATTTTCCTATTAAATCATGAAACAAAGACTTCTACACATAAAACGTTCCATAATCCCACAGACATTACACTGCTGAATAGCTTTTATTCATTATTTTAATCACAGAAAATGAACAGCATATGAGACACAAACCTGACCAACTAAAACGTTGGTTTTCGTGAAACTGAAAGGAATAGAGTTTGCTTCCTTTGGCACAGAAAAGGCAAATAAGAATATTATTCTAAAATAACAGTTTCCTTGAACCTTTAATGATAGTCTAGAAAAGCAGACAGCAAGTGCCAGACTGGGTCTCAGCTGCTGCCTTTCTAAATCTAGTATTTTGTTCCTGGCAGAAGCAAACTCCAGCTGCTTCAGGGGGAGGCTAAGAACACTGCCATTGGGCACATCTCTCCCTTCTCCCCCCAGTTGGGTCCTATTCTAATCTGCAGTGATTAGAGATTGATTTAGGCTCTGAAGAATGAACTTTATGAGATCTTTAAAATTTGTTAGCATCAAGTATACAAATTCTGAAAACTGCTGTCAATGTAGACTACCAAGTTCTTTTTTGATCCTCTTGCAAACTCCATGTCCCTGAAACCAGGTTGCAGCTACAATATATCTGAAAGATATATTACCTGAAAGAGCACATCCTTTTACTAGTTTTGTATTTGGGACCCGATGTCCCCTATTCTGGGTTTACAAGAAGCAAGAGCATAGGTTCTCGTTTCACTTACATCCCATAGTACTGTTAGGTTGGGGTTTTTTCCTCTCTCATTTATTTATTTATTTCTTAATGTAAACAATCCCAATCTTTTCTGAATCTTCTTAGAAGTTTTTCTCTGTCATGCTTTCCACCTCCCTCCTTTGAAACTTCTTTCTGTATTGCAGTGTAATATTCTGCGAAGCTGAGGTGAAGTGTATTACAAGTTATTTACATTCAAGAATTAAGCTTTCTGGGCCACTTTTCCTACCATGTCTTCAATATCCAAGTAACTAACTTGATTTCAACTGGTTTTCTAAAAATAAGGTATATGCAAGTCATCTCGTTTGTCTATCTGTTCCCTCAATAATATTTGCATCAGCTAGCCAATTCTAAAACTGGAGTTTAAAAGAAGGTTCATGTCTCAAAAAATTATGATGCCTCTATACTTAGTGTAATAACCACCGAACTGAGGGAGACAGATCCAACTCGATATTACCTATTGAGAGAAAAAGAAATAGATAGAACCCAGCTATAGTACAGGCTATCTGGCAGGTGATTAAGTCAATCAGCACACAAGGACTCAGCAATAATAAATACGTTGTTGGCATCCTACAAGTAGCAGTAGAGCATCCTATTCTCTTTTGAACAAGTGTGCTATAGAACAACACTGCTCTTATAATAGTGTGAACAGTAAGAGACTCGTGACAGACATGAAATTGGCACAAGAAGCCAGAATTATATTCCCACTTACAGACATAACATGTTTCATCTCAGCTATTACATGAGAAATTCCTCCTCAAGTTGCCTGAAAGTTCCCTATCCTCTGCTCGATTTGAGAGAATTAACTGAGAAGCCTGTAAAGTGCACTAGTTCTTTTTTCCCTTTCCACTATGCATCTCTATTTATCAGCACCCGGTCTGCCGTTGAACCATGTCTGAACCTTTTTTTTTTTTTTTTTTAATTCTTCATTATATTCTGGATTTAACTTATCTAAGATAGTAACTTACAAGATTACTTAAGCAAATACCACCTTAGAATGTAACCTAAGCAAGTCGTTACTCCTTTTTGATTAAGAATCAGTAACCATTTTTGGTTCGTGACCTTCACTTTTTGCTTCACAACCACTTAATTTCTTTATGGAGGTGCTTTCCATGTTTTTAACTATTAAAATACACCACACCAGCAAGTTTTCTCTTTTATCAACATATGAGAAACTAATTATTTTTCTTTGTTTAGAAGTTGACCAATATATCAGACTCCACTAAAAAGTGGTTTTAATAATTGCAACTCATTTGCTTGGAATAGTTGTAACTTGATGATCTGACCCCAGGCAATGCTAACATAATGCACTTATCAGCCTTCCATACTTCACTATCATATGCTATATAGTTCTCATTGGGGAAGCAGTCTGCAAATTTAATACAATAAACTGACAGAGTAGATTCGTGCCTCCTGCTGCATTTCATTTGTTTACCTTGACTGGGTAATGGCTGCCAGCAGAGACCGATTTCTTAACAATCATGTCTTGGTGCAGCTTCTGTAGTTCCACAATCTGTCGGTCTTTCTCAGCAACTGTGATTTGACATTGATTTCGCAGCGCCTGGGACTCCGAGAGGAGGAGGTTGTTTTCCATTCTGAACATAAAATATTAGATTAGACGTTAAATGATGATACACTAGCTAATGAAAAGGATAAAGCTGTACTCACTGTTATTTCAGAAATAAATAATGGTATTTTTTGAGCAGTTATACAAATATGGAGCACTATATGAACATTCTCAACACATACTTCAGCTTAAAGACATCTGCTAAAAAAAAAATTTAAAAAATCAGAAAATAAAGCCTGGAAAGTGGTAACATCACATTTGCTTTATCGACTTGGGGATGAGAGAAGTTCTTTGGCTGTGAAGATATTAACATCTGGTAACGCAGTACATGCTTCAGCTACCTAAAAAATAAGGTTGTGCAGCAAAGCAACTCTAGGTCACAGCTGTGTAGAGTGCTGCTCAAGATAGCCAGTCTACTCTATCATAGGTGTGCAAGTTTGAAAACAAACAAGCCACATCTCCAGGAACAGCTGTCACACACAGGCAATATTACAAAGGCATACAAGTAATTTAAATCCTTTTGAAGTTAATTTTCCGTATGTAGTTGGGCTGAATACACAACACCTCAGATATCTTTTTAAAAGAGATTTGGAGGAAGATGTTCAGCCGTATCAATCATTACTTTAAGAGAATATAATACCAAGCATTGAAATAAGATTTTTAAACTGTAGTTCCATATATCCAAGTCACCAACACAACAGAAAACATTCAGTTAAGACTGCCTGAAGCTTTACATCAACAGAGACCATTACATAAAGATAGAAGGATAACCACGAACAAAGACAACTCTGTGGAAGTTAATTTTGCACATATCAGAAATATTTTTATTCTACTTCCTGCTACCTACACTTACCTTTGGTTTTGTGTCAGTTTTATGTCAGGTTGTGAAGTCACTTCAGAATTCTAAACAAGAGCCACACGTACTATTTGTTAAAATTAACAGTTATACCTTAATCCAGCAAGCTCATTCTGGTATGACGCAATCTCTCTCTCAGTTTCTGCTTGGAAGGCTTTTGTCTGATGCAATGCCTTCTCCAAATCATCAACCTTGGTCTTCAGTTTTGCTATTTCAACAGCTGCAAGGCTGGCTCCTTCTTTAGCCTACGTTTAATAAACATGATTAGTGAACCGGAATGAAAACTATATGGTTGAAGTTTTATTAGTGCTAGGATCCTTACTACAGAATGGTTTTTTCTCCATTTGCTCCTGTTTAACAGGACAATTACCTAAACTCCCACAATTGTAAGCACGCCTTCTCTAGTCACACTATTTTCTTAGCACTCACATAATTTACAAAGTTAAACTTCAGAATCCATAATGTCTCTAAGCATTCTCTGCATAAAGAAAAAAAATTACAAAGTGATGTAGCTAATTAAAACTTACCAATCTTTCCCTATTGTTCTGAGACGTATCCAAATTACTTTTAAAAGGATTTATCTCATTAATGCTGTTGCAACCAATGGAAAATGAAACTATGCCCTGTTTTGTTTCAGAAGTTACCTTCTGATTGCCGACTTCCTGCATCAATTTGTCTCGGTCATCCTGAAGACTGGCCATAGCCTTGGAAAACGCTTCAATCTGGTGAACATAACTCCCACACTCAGATGAAAGCCTGCTAACCTCCATCTCTCGACTGACTAACGTCCTACAGAGATTTTCAATTTCATCAGCAATCTGATCAAGCGTAACCTTATCTGCAGCATCAAAAATAGCCCGATTCAGAAGAGCATTTTCTTTGAGCATACTGATAAGATGCAATTTAAAGCCACCCAGTTCAGCTTCAAGTTCATCTCCTTTCTTTTTTTCAGTCTTGAGTTCAGATGTGTATCTGCTCTGAAGTACCTTTAAGTCCTCTATTATCCTATCTCTATCATTTTGCAGGGCAGACATTGCTTTCCCAAAGGCCTCATTTTGGGACCTCAGCTCACTATTTTGGGACCGAACTTCTAATATCATCTTCTCTGCAACAGCATCCAGTTCATCTCCACGTTCAAGCACCAAAAGAGTCTTACTGTATTCCTCATCTGCATCCTCAGTACTTCTGCCTCCTGATTTCTGGAGTTCTTGAATCTTCTTCTGAAGATTTTCTCCATACTGTCCATTTGATATACATTCCTTTTTCTGAACACTATCACTAGTTAGCAGTTTCTCTCCAGACTCAGAAACAAGTTTCTCTTTGTTTAATGATGCAATTAAAGATTCTAAATCATTTACTTTAGACACTAGTTTTTTATTTTCATGTTCCAAAGATTCAGCAGTATCCTTTTGCAGTTCATTGGAAAGCTGCATTTCTTTTATTTGTTTCTGAAGATTGTATTTTTCTTGTTCAAGGCTTTTAATACAATCCAATTTCTGCTTAAGTAAGTCTTTCAGCTGATGGTCTTTCAGAGATAAAACTTGGTTAAGATCTTCCCTATACTTTACCAGCTGTGCGCTTAGCATTGCATTTTCAGAATGAAGATCATCTATCTGATTGAGAAGTACCCTCAATTCTTGTTTCAAAGCATTATTCTCACTTGCATTGCCAACTAGAAGACTGTCCCGCTGATTTAAGACATCCTGGTGAAGATGTTCCAGCTCTTTGTATTTAGAAAAAAGATCATCCCGATCATTCTGAAGAGATGACATTGATTTTTTAAAGGCTTCTATTTCACTGGCAATCACAGCCTTATCTTGACCTGCTTTGTCTGCTTTCATCCGGAGATTTCTCAGTTCATTTTCCATCCTCTGACAGGACTCCTCAGATTGCTGTCTCTCTGTCTGCAAAGATCTTAACTGAAGTTCATACGCTTCTATTTGGTTTTTGTGTTGAGTCTGTACCTGAATCAGATAGTCAGAAATTTCATCACCTTTTGAAGAAATGAGTAAGGAAATTTCTTTGTCTTTATTATTTAGCATGATCTTCATTTGCTCAGAAATGGTCATCTGCTTTTGCAATTCAGCATTCATTTTTTCCTTCTCGGCTAGAAGCTGTTGCAATTCTTGTTCTTGTCTTGTAAAATTACTTTCCAGCACTTTTATCTCTCTTCCTGCACTTTTACTATTCTCTATGAGATGATTAAGAGAATTATTTTCTTTAAGGAGTGCTTGCAAAGCTGCTTCTTTGGACTGAAGAACACTCTCCAATTCTTGCTGCCTGTTAAAAAACAACGTATTTTCTTCCTTTATTCTGCAGAGCTCTTCAGAGCGTTGTCTATCAACAGATTTTTGCCTCAAATACAGTTCATCCTTTGTTTCCTCTACCACAGAATATTTGATATTCAGTTCTTGAATATGAGTAATTTTGTCTTTCAATTCATCTTGTAAAGACATTATTATTTTATTACTGTCTTCTATCTGTTTCTCTTTATTTTGGATGGCCTCTTTGAACTGCATTTCCCAGGTTTTCATTTCGGTGATTACCCTGTCCCGGTCATCCTGAAGCGAGGACATACACTTCGTAAAAGCAGCTAATCGGGCCAAAGCTGCATTCAAGTCCGCTTGAAGTTTCTTGTTTTGAGACTCCTTCATGCTAACTTCTTCTCGCAAACCATGAATCTCACTAACAGCCCTATCTTTTTCTCTCTCAAGGGCACCATGTCTTTCCTCTAGGTTCAAAAACTCTCTTTTGTGAGCCAACTTTAACTGCTGAAGGTTAAATTCCAATTCTCTCTCATATTTTCTCTTTTGAATTTGTAGTTCGTCTTCTTTCTTCTTAAGTTCTTTCCTACAATTTAGATTCTCATCTGTAAGTCTGTCTACTTCATTCTTTGACTGATCCAACAAGTTCATCTGTGAGGAAAGCTTTCCCTTGAGATGCCATATTTCTTCATTTGACTTTGCAAGCTTTTCTGACATATTATTTAAGTCCTTTTCGAATTTTTCACTTTTTGACTGTGACAGTTTGACAGATCTTTCCAAATCCAGGATCAGCTCCTGGAACTTTATAGAATCCTTTTGCAAATGGTTGATCTCCTGCTGTTTTTCCTTTAAGAGTTCCTGCAACTCTTTCGTTTTGTTTTTGCTTCCATTATTATCTCTCTGAGCACTTTTCACCTTCTCCTCAAACATTCTTACAAGATGTAACTGCTGTGTTTCTTTTTCTCTAATCACGTTACATTTTTCTGCCTTTAATTCTTCCAGTTGCTGTAACAGCAAGTTATTCTGTACCTGTGCTGATTTCATTCTATCGGTGAGATGATCAACTTTTTTAACATGATTAAGCAATTCCGTCTCAAGAAATTCTCTCTCATTCTTTACTTTGTAAGAACTTTCTTGTACATTTTCCAATTCTTCCTGTAACAGACATTTATCATCCTCTAAAATCTTAACTTTTTCATTCAGACTAACAATTTCTTGTGCAAGACTTCTACATTCCATGTCCAGCTTTGTTAGACAATTATTTTTATGGTCCAAAGAGTTTTCTGTCTGTTTTGCTTTTTCTGAAATCACTTTTCTTTCTTGTTCTAAGGCAAGCACATCTTGTTCTTTTTCAGAGAGTTTATCCTTTAACACATTCACGTCCTTTAACAATGATTCATTCTCATATAATGCATCATTGATTTTAGATTGCATATCATTTTGGTACACTTCCATTTGAACTTGGAGCTCTCCCAAAGCTGTTTTAGTGACAGTGATGTTATTATGAAGGATATCATTTTCATTCTGAATTTTCTCTAAAGCCTGCTTTAAATTTTCAGAAGTCTGTTTCAGCTGCTCATTTTCCTCCATAAGCTGATGATTTTGTTCAGTGAGTTCATGAAGACGATCCTGGTGTTCTTGCATCCTTGCCTCTTGCTCACGTATCTGCCTTTCTGCTTTACTCTGTAATTCATCAACTTCCATTTTCTTGGATTCGCCGAGTTGTTTCAGTTGATTCTTAATAACCTCATTTTCATTGATGAGTTTTTGTAAATGCTTCTCAAGAGCTGCCTTCTCAGATTCCCCTTCCCTGAGTCTTTGAATAGCCTCTTGCTTCTCTTTTCTACCGAGATCAATAGCTTGCCTCATATCTGCGATTTTACTACTGATATTCTCATACGCCTGAAGAAGTGATTCATACTCTTGCTTTAATTCACTATGTTTAGCCTTCCATCCTGTTAATTCAACTGTCTGAGAATCTTTTAAGGTATTTAGTTGGAAAGAAAAGGCCTCTTTTTCCTGAACTATAGTCTCCATGGTGGATTTAAGACTTTCACATGCCGCAGTGAGGTTTTCGTTTTCAGTCAACAGTCTAGCATTTTCAGAAACAAGGCTCTCCTCTTCAGACAATGGAGAAACAGTACTTGAACTTTGTTTTTCCCTACCGAGCTCTAACAAGTGTTCAAGCATACCTGTCTTGTTCACCAGTTCTTCTCTTTCCAACATCAGCTTATCAATCTGGTCTTTTAAACATTTATTTTCTCTCAGGGCTTCTTTACGTGATATTAAAGCCGCCTGTAATTTTCTTTGAAGGCGCTCTCTGGACTTCTCTTCTGCCATAGTTCTTTGCTCTTGGGGTTTAGAATCATTTACATTTGCAGTTTTTGCCAGAGGATCTTCAATCATTTCCATTTGTTTCTGGATTTGACATTCTGTTGCTTCTTTCAGTTTAGTCTTTCCAGAGTAATCGGTCTCTGAGAGTTGAAAACACGTGTCTTTGCCTTGTAACTTTCCGTGAAGGGAATTGCTTTCCAAACAAAACTCTCCCAGTTCTTTTTCAGGATAATTTTCTTCCTTAAGCTCTTTGCATGACACCACAGGCTTACTCATCTCAGCCTTCTCATGTAGCATACATAGCTCTGCCAGAAGTTTTTTGTTTTCTTCACTGAAACGTTTTACCTCCTTTTTCATATTAATTAGTTCCACATTGGACTTTTCTAAACAATTGAGAAGTTTCTCTTTTTCAATCTTCATTTCTTCAAATGCTGTTTTGTAATGGTGGGCTGCTTCTTGACCCTCCTTTATAGCTTTGATTAATAATTCCTTTTCCAGATCAAGTTTATCTTTGAAATCCGTAAGTGAACAACGCAATGCTTCTATTTCCTCGTTCTTTTCTGCAACCTCCTTCTTAGCTTCGATTCTCAGTCTCTGCAGTTTCTCTTGGATCATCTTGTAATCCTCTTCACTTTTTTTAGTAAGTGCTTCTTTCTCATTATTCACATGTTCAAGCGCTGCCTTTATGTCTATAGCTTCAGCCTCGTATGCTTTCAGCTTTTTCCGTAGCTGCTTTATGTCCTCCAACAAGCTGCCCTTACATTGCTCCTGGTACTGCTCCTGCTGTCTCAAAGAGTTTAAGTTGACTGTTTCTGCTCTTTCATCACCAAATTCAACTGATATTTTTCTCAACTCTTTCTTTAACATTTCTGTTTCCTCCTGAAGTTTTGCATAATTACTTCTTAGTTCTTTTAACTCTGCATCTTTACTTGCCTCTGAAGTGACTGTTTCTTCTGACTCTTTTAGGGGTGCAACCTGAACCTCGCTTCTTTTTTTGTCCGATTCCATATTCCTTAAGATTAAAATCAAATTCTTTACATTTTGTTTGAAGAACTTCCCAGAGTGCTTTATGTTCTCGTTTGAGTTGCTCAAGGAGGTTTTTTTGTTCATCAAAATCTGCTGCAAGCTTAGTGTGCTCTTCCCTTTCTTTCTGAAACTTTTCCATATCTTCTCTCCTGACCAAAAGCTCCCTCTGTAAGGCTTCTTTTTCTTTTTTTAGTTCATTCATGACATTAATGTCGTTGTTGGGGTCCAGACACTTCCTCCTGTCCCCAGCACTTAAACCAGGCTCTTCTGAACTGGAATTTTTCAACAATTCTTCCTTCTTCTTAACTTCAGACTTCACCTTTTCAAGAGCTAAGAGCAGCTGAGAACGTTCCTCTTCATATGCACTTGCTTTTTCATCAAGCATAGATTGCACATGGGCAAGCATGCAGTCCTTTTCCTCTAAGGATTTTACGTTCTGCTCCCATATGTTCTGTTTTTCAGCAATGACATCATTTAGTTTTGTGATATTGTCCTGAAGTTCCTCTAAATAGGAAACTTTTGAAGACAAAATTTCCGTCAAATCGCTTATTTTGGCATCTTTTTCTAAAAGTTGTTGCTTCAGAGTTCCAAGATGAGACTCAAAATCTTTATTTTGTACTTCAACTAGTTTCAGTTTGTCTGTTAACTCAGTAACTTTCTTCAACAGCTCCTCTGCTTTTTTTTGCTCTTTTTCTATTTCTTCCTGCCCGCTCTTTTCTAGTTTTCCAACTTTCTGCATTAGATCTCTTCTTATTATCAATGCTGCTTGAAGTTTCTTTTTCAGATTCTCTTTTTCCTTGCCCATTTTCTCAAGATTAAACTGCATCTCCTCTTTTTCATTCATTAGATCTTTAAACACAGCTTCCCTACTGCTTAACGTAACCTGACTATGTTCCAGTTCTTTCTTACAAACCTCAAGTTCCTGCAATACTCTGTTTAGCTCTCCTACAGAACTATTATGAACAGCTTCAAGGTCTTGCAGCTTGGTATTTAATGTATTTCTCTCTTCAGAAAAATTCAACATTTCATTAGACAATGATTCCATGATCCGGGCAACAGAACAGTCCTTTTCTTTCAGTTGCTGGCTTAGACCAGAAATTAAATCCGTCTGCTGATTTACCTGGGAAGTTAAGTTTTCGATGAGTTGATCTTTTTTCCCCATTTCTTCAAGGAGACTTGCTACTTTTTTCCCTTCAACGTGTAGTTTTTCTTGACTGGTTCTTACTATTTCTTCTGATTTATTTATCTTGTCTTGAAGAAATTCAACCTGCTTATTTATTTCTGCAAAAGACTCTTCTCTTTCTTGCAAGAGAGACTGTTGTTTACATAATGTTTCCTTGACTGTGACCATTTCTTCTGACAGACATTCAATTTCAGATTTGTATTTACCCTTCATCTTTTCAATATCATTCTGCAGCAATTCCTTCTGCTTCTCAAGTGACTGCATACTTTTTAATTCATCCTTCATGGTGTCTATTTCCTTCTGCTTTTCTAAAAGCACCAGTTGCAACTGTTGTCCTTCTGTTTCTTTGCTCAAAAGAGTGGTTATCAGAGTGGAGAATTCTTCCAACTGAATTTTACTATCAGTTAGCTGAAGTTCAGAATCTGAAGTCTGTGCCTTTTCTTTACATAAAAGCCTACTACTAAGTAATGAAGATAAGCTTTGAGTTAATTCCTCTTTTATAAGATCCAGCTCTTGCTGCAAAGACTGGATTTTGCTATCCTTTGATTTAACTTCACTTTCTAAACTGCTCAATTGCTCAGTGAGATTATTATTTTGTAAAGTTGCCCTATCAAGTTCTGTCACCCATTTGTTTTCTGACTCAAGTAGACTCTGTTCTAGAGTTTCAAATTTAAGTTCTAATTTAGAAAGTTCTTCACCCTTCACACTAACCTGCATCTGTAACTTCTCTTTTTCAGTCTTCAACTGCAGTTTGACAGCATCTATCTGCATTCTTGAATAATTCTCACTGGTTTCTAGTTTTTCATTTTTTTCTTGCAGCTCTTCCAATTTCTTTTGCAAATTATTTTGAGATGTAATAAGTTGTGTGTTTTCAGCCATCAGTTTATCAGCATTTTCTTGCAATTGATTTTTTTCTTTCTCCAGAGACTCTACCTGGCATTGCAGACTACCTATGAAAAGCACATTGTCATGACAGTCTTGAGATGATTTGGAATTTACATTGTTCAACTCTAACTTCAGACATGCTATGTTATCTGCCTGTTGAGTGCACTTCAGATGCAGAGACTCCACAGCCAGTTCTTTTTGCTGTAGTTCTTCTTCCCGTATACTTATTTGGTCTAGTGCTTTTTGGTGTTCGTTTTTAAGAGAGTCAAGTTCAATTGTTAAAGAATCAATTTTCTTCTGATTAATATCAAGCTTCTCGTTCTTTTCCTGCAATTCCTTGGTAAGGTTTTTGATGGCTGTACCACTTTTCTCTGATTTTTCTTTCAGAACCTCAATCTCACTAGAAAGAACGTTAACGTTGTTGTCTGCCAACTGTATACTGGTATCTTTCTCCTTTAAAGAATTAAGCAGGCCAGCAATAACTTCTTCTTTTTTCCCAAGAGCTGCATTCAACTCAGTTCTTAGTTCATACTGTGCTTCAATTTTCTCCTGAAGAGATAAAAAGGCACTGTCTCTCTCATGGACTAGTTCTTTAGATTTCTGTAGTTCTTGTGTAAGTTCATGTACCTGACTTTTGAGCTGAGAAATTAAATTTGTCTTCTCTTCATCTTTACTTGCTTTCTCTTCCAGAGTTTTGAGGAGACTTTTATTTTCTGTAAGAGATGACTCCTTTTCTGATAAGGACTGGTCCATCTCAATTATTACATCCTTCTGATGTTGTATTTCTTTTTGTAAATTCACCTTCACTTCCTCCAGCTCCTCCACCTGCTTCTTTAGGACCTCACATTCATTCTCTTTCTCTTGAAGTTGAGTCTTTATATTCTCACTAGATAATGAAATATTACTGATGGTTAATTCTTTTTCTGAAACAAGTACTTTTAATTGTTCTGCTTCACAGACTAAAAGCTCCAACTGTTTCTGCTGCAAAACAGAAGATTCCTGCACCTCAGAAAGCTGTGCTTTTAAACTGATGTATTCATCTAACTTTCGTTTTAGAGATTCATCCTTCTGTATAATTGAATCATTCAACTGGGATGATTTTTCTGTCACACTTTTAAGCTGATACTGAAGGTCAGAAATAACCTCCATATTCTCAGACAGTTGAACCCTAAGCACATCAGACTCTTCAGATTTATCTTTCAATAACTTTAATTCTTGGGCTTGCCTCTTAAATTCATTTTCTTTTTCCTGAATTGTGTGTCTAAGCTGGCTGGTTTCAAAACCTAGGGCTTGTAGTTGGTTTTGCAGATCAGAAATTATTTGCACATATTGCCCTTCTGCTGCCATTTTACTGTCCTTCATTTGCTGAATCAAAGCCTCCTTTTCAGAAAGGAGAGTTTCTTTTTCTTCAAAGTCAATTTTTAAATTTTCTTTTTCAATCAAGAGGCCATCAATTTGGTCCTTCAGAGCTAAAATATTATGACTTTGTTGGGACAAGTGGGAAGTTAAAGCAGCTACTTCGTCTGACTTTTTCATTACCATAACGTTAACTGCTTCAACGTCTGCTTTCAATTTTTCATTTTCTAGAGCTGCTATATGTGCTTGTTGCCTTGCTGAAGTAATTTCAGACTGTTGCTGTACCAACTGTGACTGAAGAACTTCACATTCACATGACTTCTCGCTCAGTAAGCTCGAAAAGTCCTCCTTTTCATGCTTAAGCACATCCACTTCTTTGCTTAATAGCTGTAGCTGATTATTTAACACTGTACTTTCTGCCATTTTTTCAGAAACTTGCCTATGAAACTTCTCAAGTTCTGAACCCTGACTTTTTACAGTCAGGTCTCTTTCCTCTACCAACTGGGATAATTTTGTTTTTTCATCTTTAAGATTTTTAATTTCGTCCTGCAACTGTACAACACAAAACTTACTCTCTTCCATTGCTTTATATAATGAATCATTTTGAAGGATTTTCTCATCTAGAGACCTGTTCGCAGCTTCCAAATCCAAAGTTATGTTTTGAATTTGTTCCTGCAGTAGCAAATTCTTTTCCTTGCTATGGCTGAGCTCTTGGATTAGGCTAGTGCATTCAGATAACTTATTATTTAACATTTCTTCTTTCTTTATTTCTTTGTCTCTAGTATCCTTCAGCTGAATGAGAAGTGATTGCATTTGTTCATGCAACTGTTGTGTCTGTTCCTTGCTTTCACACAACTGATCAGCTAGCACATTACATTCCTTTGTTTTCTCCTGCAGCTGTTCTGCAATGGAATTTTCTTTTTGCTCGGCAAGTATTGAAAGTTGTTCAATCTCTTTTGCCAGAGTGGTTTTATCACTATTTAGTACTGAAAGAGTTTTTTCATGCTCAGCAGTGCTAACAGATAACTTGTTCTCCATTTCTGCCACAGCCTGGATTTTCTTTAACAATTCACACTCTTTTACTTCTAGGAGTTTGGACAAATTCTCTTTTTCACTAATTAGCTGTTCCTTCTCTTTTTCCACCATATCCATACTTGTTTTCAGATATTCATTTGTTTTTATTTGCTCTGCCAATTTTTCTTCTTTCCCTTCAAGATCTGCCTGCAATTGCTTATTAGCTGAAGCTTTCTCCCGTGTCTCTATTTCCATCTTGTTAATTTGTTTGTGTATTTCATTTAATTGGTTATTAAGTTCTTCGCAACATGTCTCTTTGGCTTTCAGATCTCCAGTTAATTTAAGTTTAGTCTCTTCATTTTGCTGCTCCAAAACCCCAAGCTTCTGTTCTAATGAAATAATGAACTCTTGTTTCTCTTGTAATTCTTTTTTAATTGCTTCCTGATGTTCAGTATGTTCTATAAGCTTCCTAGATAACTCAGCCACCTCTTCATCTTTTTTAGCATTTTCCAAAACCAGTTTGTTGTATGAATCTTTAATTGATTTTAACTCATTTTCAAGTGTCTGTACTTTATTCTCTTTCTCTTTAAGCAAATCACTCCATTTTTCCTTTAGAGTATTGTTTTCCTCGAGCTGAGATTTCAAATATTCTGTTTCTTTTCTTTGTTTATCCTCAGTTTCTTTTAGCTTTTCAGATGATTTACTAATTTGTTCTTTCAGCAAAGTAATTTGCGACTCACACTCCGCAAGTTTGTTATGGTATGCAACGTTGTTGGCTTTGATTTCAGAACGGAGATCCTTAATTGTAATGCTGTTCTCACTGCTTTGTCTTATTAATTCCTCATTTTCTTTGGTTTTAGCTTCATTCTCAACTCTAATTCTTTCTAGCTCTAGTCTCATTGTATTACTTTGCTCAGAAAGGACAGATATCTTCATGCTTGCATCTCTTACATCAGCTGTTTGTACATCTTTCAGTAAAAGAGTTTCCCTTTCAGCCTTTAATAAAGCCTCTTCCATCCCTCGTATTTCCTCCTCTTTGCATTGTACTTGATGCTTCAGAACTATGACCTGTTCAGAATATTCTGTCATATTCGAAGACAGGACAGACATCTCTCTGTCTTTTTCTGCCAGTGCTTCTTTAAGATTATCAATTTCTCTTTCACGTTTCTGGAGATCTTGAATAAGTTGAGATCTTTCCTCCAGATGGCTTGTATTCAATTTGTCAAGCTCTTCATTTGTCTGGTCCAGATCCAGCTGCATCGACTCTACCATGCCATCTTGTTTCAAAGTCTAAACACCAAGAAAATAACGTTACAAGAATACTTCAAACATATGTTAAGACGGAGCATGAAAGTTACGCTCTATATGTAGAATGAGTATCTATGGTAATCGATGTGTACCCAACTGGACAGCCACAAGATAACAGTGTTATTCTTTAGATTGTTTTAGCATACATAAAGTTTAGTGTATTAAATTTTTAGCAGCTAATGCTGCTATTTTGCTAACATTTAAATGGGCCACATCAAAAGAACATACTCTTCTCTTACTTTATTTTTATGAGTTACCTTTTCCTTCAGCGTAGCAACTTTTTCTGTCAGATCACTGATGACTGTTTTTTGCTCAGTGTTCTCCACTTCGTAAACACTGCATTTCTTCAAGGCTTCATTCAGCTTAGTATTAAAAATAAAAGTAAATGTGATAGAAATATACAGAATTATATTAAAATTGTAAGGTTAGAGTTATAATATTGAGTTTACATAACAGTGGAGTTTATACTTTGACGTTAATAAATGGGGATAACTCATCACCCCAATAAAACAAATACTTTCATGCAAAGTTCTGTGCTGGGTCTAAGAAATCCTTACACCCAACTTAAAGCAAAGCAATTGCACGACGTGAACAAAACTGTAAAGAAACAGCAAAAACCTTCAGATATGGAAAACAGCAATATTGCTACTGGGACACAAATAGAAAGTTATGGCTAATGCTCACCAGTTCTAATAAATTAAGTACTATTTAACAATAACTTAAACTTACTTTTTGCTCAGTATGCACAAACTTTTCACCAAGCTCTTTGTTCAGAATATCCTTTTCTTGAAGCAGTTTCCTCAAAGTTTCAATTTGTTCTAGTTTTTCTGTTGTGCTCAACAGCTTTTGTTCTTTTTCTCCAACTGAAGTTTCAAGGAAGCTATTTCTGTCACTTAATCTAAGATGAAAATAAATAATCAGATATTTTGAAAACAGAGCTTGCTTTAAGTGTTCTAGACTTATTAGCATCAATCTATGTTCCTAGAAGAGTAACTGTTTTTACACCTTCCATTTAAACTTCCCAGTAAAATAATAACATTACTGCAAACAGAAGCAGGAATCAAGTATCTCTTTTTCAAGTGTTTTAAGATATTATACTTGTCATTAGAAGTTTAAGCTTAAAGCAACAAAAGCTAATCCTGAATGGAGTTATAAAGAACCTTTATTTTACCCTTTAAGCTGCTCATTCAAGCCAGAGATCAGAATTTGATGCTTTTCCGCATCTCGCATTTGTTGGTTGCGTAACTGGGTGAATTGAGTTTGCAAACGTTCATTTTCATTCTGCAACAAAATAATAATGAAGAGGATTATCACAAACACCCAGAACAGGGTAAGATAACTGGAGTCATGAAAATCTGACTCTTCAGGAGATTTACATCCTACACGGTAATAGAGATTGTTATTCTAGCACTTTAGCAGATACCAGTGCAAAATACAACACTAATATCACAAGTTCAGATGTGGTATTAGTTCAGGTAGATGCAACCCACCTTTCAGAAATACCTCCTTCAGCAATGCTATGACAGCATGAACTCAAGGATGATTGCTGTATATCCAAAACACACACACTCATACTGTGTTAAGGCAGCTTACTTATCTTAGCAGGGGAAGCTACTGCTTTGAAAAAATACTTTCCTCATTGGTTTGAAGACAGTACCAAACTTGCAAATTTTTTCTGCCTACTTTTTCAGGTTGAAGGAATGCAAAAACCTGCATATAGGGGATTGTGAAGAAAAGGAAGCAAGCTTCATTCACACAGCTTTTTTTTTTTTTTTTTTTCCAAACACAGTACAAATCTCCTACTCTAGCAAGATCCACTGCACCAATGCAAAAATAAAACCACAAAAAATAAATCTGACAAAAAAACAGCAACCAAAAACCAAAAGCAGAACACATACCCAGAATCAATAGCAAATAGGACAAACATGGCAAACTCATCACCTCTAATGAAAATAAGCTAGCATTTTGGAGGAGGCAGAACACACCTGTACCGCCCTCAATAGCTGCCCTTCTTCATCTACACCGAACGTTACCTGTATTGAAAGGTTTGTTACAAGATTCTCAAGTAATAATTAATATAAGGTTGTCTTTCATCTTAAAATCATTAATTCTTTTTTTATATATGTGCAACTTAACAGATAAAGAACCATGAATAATGTACCAAGACTGAAGGAGTTTGAGTAAGAGATCAGTTGTGTCATTTAGTGAAAATAAGGCTTAATAATTATCATAGTAACTTGTCAATCAGAAAACATTAAAAATAACTTTTCTGATAAATACTTACTTTACTATTCCTTTTGATGCCTTCATTGAATAATTTTACAATATAAGTATATATCATGTTGATATCTGGGGGTTAGATTGTATATGTATAAATACTAAATTATTAATTATTTTTAACATATTTACACTGTTTCTTTGTATTATTATTTTTATATATATATATATGTACACACACACACACACACATTTATAGAAAAGAAACTTGAGGGATATAAGAAGAGGGAGACTTATGCCAGTGGCAACAAAATCTATTTCCGGACCTTCTGACAAAGGCCCCCTACAAAGAATAATGAAAATCATGTTGCCTTTTACTATGTTTCTAAAACAAGTAACAAAGCTTAATTTCAAACAAGTTTCTCCGTGTGATGACTTTTACTTTTGCTAAACAAAAGGGACAGGCTTCAACTTCAGAGAATTACATAGTATGTGTACACCCCTTGCCAACATAATCATGAAGTCTAAAGTAGGCTTTAGACATTTTTGCTAACTGCAAATTGTGGGGTTTGTCTTACTGCAGGCTATGATTTTAAGAATATAAACAGAGAATAAAATTATTCTCTTGTATCATCAGGTTTTACACAACTACAAAAGCTCACCTGAAGAGCCTCCATTCTACCTTGAAGCTGCAATCTATCTTCCAAACCCTGACAACGCTCTTCTAGGAAAAGAATTTGTTCCTGCAGTTGATTTCTTTCCAATTCCAATTCTTCAACCACACTCCGTAAACCTACTTAAGTCAAAGAAGAAAAATTATTTCAAGAAAGGTTTACTAAAATTACTGAAGTCTAGAAATGGTTTCAGCTTTTTATTCATGATTCTCACCAGTGTTGGGCACAATCAGATCTCAACCATTTCCAGCGGAAATGCCTGAGACCCTGCATTTCCAAGAATTAGATGGCAAAAGTACCCGTAATTGTTGAAAAAACAAAATAAAGCTGCATAGGGCAAGAACTTAGAGAACCTGGCAGAAATATTATAAACAGTATTGTGGCTCAATCAATAGCATGGCTCATGGTACTTTAATCACAAGTTAATCATGTACTTGCAGAATCAGATCTTAAGCGATTATCAATAAACAAAGTAAACTGGTCTGTATCAAAATTTGCAAGCGAGTCTATTCCATTTTAACAATAACATGTATTTGCAGCCTGTATCACCAAAAACATTTGTATAAAAAAAAAAAATGAGAATTTGGGGTTTAAATTAAAATCAGAGCAATGGAATGCAATTCTCTCTTGCAATGTAACTGTTATATAGATTGGAAACACATTCACAGGAACAAGACTCGTAACTTAAAAAACACATGATATTGCCACACAGGATATTTCATGGGCACCAAGGCTCAACCAGTTCCAGTGTTCAGTCATATTTATATTCTACTTCTGAACCAAAACTAGGCAGTTCATCCAGCACGCACATGCTTTAAAATGAAAAAGAAGAAAACACAAGCCAAAAAAATTCAACAAAGATTAGAATACACCACAAATGGGTTGTTAGTTGAATTTGAAAACAAAAATAGACACAAAATACAGATGCTGTGCATGCTTTAATAAACTGTCTAGTCGCTATCACACCTGCATTAGGTGAAGTGTACTCTGGCCACCAACCTCCCATATTTTCTCCTTCAGCTGAATCAGTGCTATCCAAGGTGACGTTCAATTCTTGAAAGCATTGTTTTCTATCAAAGTTGTATTCTTCCTATGCACAAAACATGAGAATGAAGTTTAATTTAAAGAAGGAAGCAAGGGCAAAATACATACTCTCTTATTGAAAGTGTAGTTTCAATTAAAAGTCCTAATATTCAGCAAGTGATTCAGGTGCCTAAATGTAAGTATATGGGATTACTATTGGACACTAGTGTAACCTGCCCAGCTTCCAGCTACTATTTCCAGAAAAGCCAAGACTCCCACAGGTTTTGCATGGCATCTGCCAGGCCTTTGGACACACCCTCAGGCATCTGAAAAACCAATGGATATCTATGTTTGGTATACCTTAACTGGTCCCCTGATTTCTACAGTTAATAGGGATCTCTGAATCTCAGAGTAAAGTATGGGAGTCAACTAAACATAAAGTTCTTCTAACGTGACAATGACATCCTAATTCTTCTTACAAAATACTATAATTTTTTCATGCCAGTTACAGAACTAACTACCTAGAAGTACATCTGAATGAACTGACACTACTTACCAATTATTCAGTAAAGCTCCAATAACAAAGAGATTTGTAAAGATTGTATCTAAACCAAAAATGGCCTTAACATGTTAAGCATGCACACAGCTTCAAGGATTTGAATTACTCCAGAGGGAAGCTCGTTATTTTTCAGTGTAAAATTAAGTAGACTCGTTACTCAAGGAATAGAGAGGTGTGATACTATTGGAATTTCTCATCTTCTGGCTACATACACGATCATTAAATTTACAACAGTTTTCAGTTACATAACTAATCTAAGTTCTTCAGTCCTTAATGTCTTTATGTGTAAAGCACCACATACATAACAGTACTTTCCGTATTTTTATTAACACATAGGTAAAAATAAACTCTCATCTCTTTTAACCCACCTGAAGCTTCCTGCTGGTCTGATTACTTTTTCTTCTTGCCTGCTGCAGCCTGCCCATTCCTTGAACTGTGGTCAGTTCCTCCTCCAGCTCCTGTTGCCCTGAGACTATGGCTGGATCAGAGCAGCCAGGAAAGAACCAGTCATCCTCAATCAGTTTTGTGCCACAGGAAAGCAATTACATTTATATCAGACTCTACTACATGAAAAGAGACCAGGGACAGGCTGGAGTCCCTACAAATGACTGACAGGATCAAGATTAAAGCAGCAATCCATTGCATTCACCTTGTGATTTTCCTCCAACATTACTATATAGAACATAAAGTCCGCATATCTCACTAAGAAGAAGCAAACTGAAGTCTAGCTTTACTTCTTCATCAGCTCTAAATGAAGACTTTATATAGGAGACTGGAAAGGGTGAGGTTATGCCGATACTAAAAAAAAAAAAGCCAACCAATTAAAATGCCAAATCACATCTCATTTCAATTTACCAGGTTAAAATATACCTAATTTGTATGATAAAGGCATCAGCCAAAACAGCTGTGGTTTTTATAATCTGAACAATCACAATCATTTTTATGGAAATGGCATGCGTCCCTTTCAACTTTAATTTTAGTATGAGCTATGAAGCCAGAGAATTTGAGGAAGTCACAAGCATGGGTTACACTGCAAACTGGCATCAAACCATCTTACCATAAATTAATACTACCATTCTTTTTAAAACAAATACCGAATCACTTGTAAATAAACACACTGAATAAATTCAGAATATGAAAGCTTAGGTATGCATCCTGTTCATTGTTAGAAATGATTTTTCATCTAAAGTACATTCCCATCTGTTTTGTGATATGACAAAACACGTTTGGGGTAACAGATTAGGAAATAGATGTTTCATGCAAAGCAGACAGTACAGCGAGTGAAAAGAAATGGAAGTAAAGGTGGCTCCATACTTTAATTGAAAATCAATTAGATAATTACAAATTTAGCTTTCAATTTAAGCACATCACTCCACAGTTGTCCTCACAGCATGCAAAATTCAGAGAACTTATGTCAATGCATCTGCGAGGTAAACACCAGAAACTATCAGGAGATTCAGCCCTACTGGGAATACTTGGCTTTCATCTCAGTTGTCCAAGGATTACTTATACCACAAATTCCATTAACACACAATTTGTAACAGCTACTAGATTTAAGTTCTTCCTGTACTATTTCAGTATTACATACTTAACATGTAAGAAAAGGTTAGAGGAAAAAAGTTAAAGAAACAAATTAAAGACCTTTTTAAGGTAGGACTGCTAAATTGGATTTTACTTCGGGTTTTGATTACACTTTGGCTTCTGGCACTGTCAGTTTATCAGCATTCTTTTACACACCTTTGTTTGTTTTCAGGTATAGATTCTACAGTTTTCTTCAAAGCCATAAAAATAAATGCCAAATTTTGGTCACATGCCTTAACATTCTGTTTACTGTCACTGAAACCAGTCAAGTGATTCATGGAGCAAGAATTATTCCAGATAAGAACTTAACCCCTTCCTTGGAGGAAAAATAAAATAAAATTTAAAAAATTTTATTTCTTGGAAGTTGAAATTGACGTAATCTGTTTTTAAGCCTAATCAGAATGAATATCACACTGTCCTTTAGGAACCCGAAACATTTAGGCTCCAAAGTATTTGATAATGAAAAAAAGAATGCAATTACCATTGTCATGTGAAGAATTAAAGCACAGAAATTGGATTTAGAATAATTTAGAACATTTAGGCAAGTCTTTAAACACTTTCAGTTAAATTCAGCATTGCTTTAACAACAGTTAGTGAGTAAATACATTTTCTAATGTTTTACAGCAGCTTAGAGAGCTTTTCATTTGCAATTATAACTAACGTAAAAACTGAAAACCCAGAACACCTTTCTTCAGATACACACTGCATTTAAATTAACTAATGATGTGTCTGTATTTCTTGGTGTCACTATTCACACTAAATTTCACAACCTTTAGTAGTTTGCAGCAGAAACATGCCCCAGTCTATGAATGTAATCAATACTGTCACCCTTTATGCTTCTGCAACTCCTCGCACATTCAACCCGAAAGAGACAATTGCCATATAGGGCAAATTGTCATAGACTACAATGGAACAAGTAGTGGGTTTATATAGTGCTTAAAAAATTGGTAGCTAATATTAATGCAAAGTTCTGCAATTTATGGGATGGAATATAATTGGTTTTCTAAAAAAAAAAAACCAAACAAAAAAAACCCCACAACCTACTGATTTCAAGTACTACCAAGAATATTTAAATGAATTTGATTCTTACTTAAGTCACAACCACTTCCAGCAAGCCAAGAAATTTGTCTCTAGGTAAGGTTACAACATAAATATGGAGTCAGCTGTTACTACAAAGAAAAATGAAGAAAGATGATTAGGTTAACATAAATGAGGAAACAGGTATTGCAAGGCAGAAAAAAAAAAAAATCAAGTTAAACCCAGCATTTGTTACATGTATTGCTAGAAACCACATACCATCAATGGAAAATCTTATAAGGTACTGCTGGCGATTTCCTCAAAAGAAGCAACGACAGAAGAAATCAGCAACAGTACATTACAAGTTGCCATTGCTGCAGGAACCTGCATGCACAAAACTGATGGGAAACTATGTTCTCACTGGCTGACCAAATCGCAGTGTAGGGTAGGAGTGGAGGGGGAAGGGACGCTGAGAGCTCATCAGGTGTAACGGCAGGAGAAAAGAAACAGAAAGGTCATGCTTATCCCAAGGGGAAAAAAAAAAATGCAAAATTAAACACGGGCTGACGCAGATGAAATTTTACAACTGTTATTAATATTGCATGTGGATCCATAGTTACCACAGATGAGATAACAAGTAGTTTTAATGAAGGGAATATTATTCTCTTTCAATTCCAAAGCATTACATGTGCAAATCGCTCAAAAAGAAGAGGCATGATCCTAAAAACATTTCTGTGCTTACATACTGAACTTTCAAATTGATCTTGTAAATGAAAAATAATTCAATCGCAGATTAGAAACAGAAGGCTCCAATTAACTAGCCGGATTAATTATGATGGTAGGTTGTACACATTACCATTTGCCATTAATCCCCACACAGTTAACTAAGAGGACAAAAACTATAATATAGTACTAGCTGGCATGGAAAAAAGCAGTAAAAACTGCTGAAATTTAACCAGACTTTTACAGGTTTTAATAAAAGCTGCTTCACTTTCTCATCGTCTGTTTCATTAGTAATTTAGAAAACTATAAAACCTGAGATTACTCGAACTGTTATTTTTTTTGCAAGTAATTTAATATTTTTAACTAGCTCCAAACCATTGCCAGTTAATGTTATTCAGCTGACCTATACAAGGGACACTTACTAACAGACTACTAAATATTCTAAAAAAGATTTCTCATTAATTATATTTAAAGAGAATCTCTGCCTCAGGTGCATTTTACTAAAGCACCACTAACCGACACTGTAGTTCCCCACACCTCCACCACTTGTTCTTGGCAGGCAGCTTTAAAGTTTCAATTTTTTATCATTGATCATTCATACGCAGACAATAAGCTTTTGAAGTAAATTGAAGCAGTTTTACAGAGCAGCAACTCAGATGGCAAACAGAACAAGCACATCTACTCATAAAAATTATACCAAAAAGATGAATGTATGAAAAACAGATTCACAGAAATAGGAAAAGGTAGAAATTGCAGATTTAAGCAATTTCACCTAGCTATACATATGACTACAGAGTCATATGAGTCATGGTGGTGTGCTATCAAACACACTCACATATATCTGACGTATGAATACAATAATTTTATCGTAAATAAAACAATTCACCTTCTCTCTCCTCTTCAATCTGAGCCATTCTCAAGGCCATAACAGATTTCTCTTCTCTGACTTGATCGTGGGACTCCTCTGACTCCGGTACATTTTCTTGCCACTCCAAGAGCTGACTCTGCAATTCATCCACACTACCCGATTCACTGGCCTAGCAAGAGAAATCACTCATGAAAATGTATTTACATTTGCAGTGAGATTTTTTAAGTAACATTTTCTGTTGGCAAACCATTCACAGAGGAAACAACCCATTATATTTCACCACTTAGCATAAACAAAGATTTACAAAAGTGATGACAACTGCTATTGTAGATTATGTAAAAAGCAAGCCTCGCCACTTCATAAACTATCAAAAATGCTACTGTCAGTTGCACTTTTTATCTGAAATATTTTAAAATGAAAAATAGCTTTTTTAACCAAAATACTTTTGTTGCACATTTTCATCTTAGCAATGTTTCAGAGTAAAATGATATTCAACTGTCTTTATGTGGGGCAACAAATCTCTACTTTTCCCATGAACAGAATAAAAACATTTCTGCCTTCCCATCGAAATAAAAACTACATTAAGATTTTACCAAACAAACCCACCTTCTCCACAAAACCTGGAAATAGAAATTCTTTTTTAGCAAAATACAATTAACTGTTTCAAACTGGCTCTGCTGCTAGGGCTGTACAAACTTACCATGACTGATGTATACCATTAATCCATCAAAAGCCCTTTTGCAGAATTTTCTTTGTTATCCAGACCTGTACGTTTGTCAAGGTTACAGCTACTATTTCTTTCTGAAAGCTGTGTGTATTGTATACAACATAACAGCCACACTTTGATGACTCATGACTATTTAGCTAGTTACATTTAACTACTGCTCGGAAAAGTGTAATTTAAGGTATGTGGAGAAGTAAGTAGAAATCAATCGTTTTAAGCAATTCAAAGCCTGACAGCCTGTTATCCAACTGAACAGCTACTGACACTGACAGTGCCATGTATCGCTGGCATTTTCAGCTCCAAAATCCAGCTAATGCACTTTTGAAAAGTCTAATTAGCACTGTTTGAATTAATCAGTAACTCATACAAATAAATTTTAAAGCTAACCTGTGAGGCTGCTCTTTTTGTGACTTGGTCAAGATCAGCTTGCAATTTCCTTTGCTGCTCTTCATAGACTTCCAGCTTAGTCAGCAATTCTTCTATAAAAGCATAATAAATTTGGCTCATTAGGACACAAAACTAATAGGAAGACCAATAAAAAATTAAAAGCAGCATTCAAAATGAAAATTCATGATGATAATTCATCTCAGTTAAAAGACCTCTCTCAGGCTGTGTTATCCATCCACCCATGAAATTGACTTCTTGATTATTAAACATCGATGAGTGCTTTAAGTCTAACCTGCTAACAATTTAGGCTGATGAACTGAAAAATCTACTGGTTTTTATTTACAGAAAGGATTTCAGAGAAAGTAACGTAAGGTGAAACAAAGTCTCCCACAGAATTCTACTTTAAACTACCTGAGGTTTTCAGCAAAAATTCTCACTCAAATCCTTACAAAAGAAAAAAAAATATTTGAGATAATTCTTAATTTACTTGAAACTCACTGCTCTCAAAAGTTTCCTGTATATACTGTGACATGTTTTCCAAGTATGTTTGGTCTCATTTTTCCTCTTAAGAAAGCACCTCTTCCACTTCCTGGAAAAGTTTACACATACTCTGCCTAAGCCAAAATGCAACAAGTACTATGCACAGGTAGATTTAGAGAAGGAAAAGCTGAGCTCTAACTCTGACTTAATTGCTGAGCACTACTGTTCAAAGTTGCATGAAGTTATTTCAGAATCTGTTTAAAAACAAAGATACACTTTGAAAATGAAAATGAGAAAGTTCGTTTATCTTTGGCTCTTTGAATCATTTGCAAAAGTTTTTTTTTTTTACCATTCTGAGTTCTGATTTCATATAGCGATTGCAGTTTGGACTGTAGTTCTTCGTTTTCAATTTCTAATTCAGAGATGCGATTGTTTAAGGCAGATACATCATTATTCTTTGACGAAAACTAAAAGAAAAATAGTTATGAGTTTTTCAAATACATTTAAACACCAGAAACACAGCAAAGTCAGTGCAACTTTTTTCCCCTGATTTTTTAGTACGATTCAGAATAGTTGTTTTCCTAATATTTGAAAGTGCAATACACTAGCTAACCTCTAACAAATTTACTCCTGAACGCTGGTAACACCTGTTGGTACCATTTTTTGTTCAAGTTTATCCTGTATTAACATTTTGCATCCATTCAATTTTTATATATTTATTCATACATAAAGATACTTTGAATAAATTATTTTAATATTCCATTTACCCTTTTTCTTTTTTTTCAGTCAAAACTCCCAGCACCGCAGTTTTAAAAACAGGCACGTAATATTAAACATAACACTACACATACATTTTTTAGTTCATCCTCTAGTTGTTTGATTCTTGATTTAGACCAAGCCTTCATTTTCAGAAACTTTGCTTCAGATTTGCTGGCCTCTTCCGTTTTCAATTTCACTTGCACTAAGAAACAAGACACAAAAAAATCATTGAAAACCCTAGAAAGATTATTAATACAAGACCTGTGTTTAATTCCTTTAGCAATGGGAAGTTATACACTTATGTAAGACAATGGCATTTAAAGAAAAACAAAACAGTAAGAGCTGTAGTGAGAAATCTACAGTTAATGTGATTACCTTGGTATTCCTATGACCCTCATTATTATAGTATTTGAGCGCAGATACTTTTTAATTAATGTGGCAATAACTCTTCCACCAAATTCAACGTAGTTCTTGCAAGAGGTATGAAATTGACATACAACCTAACAGTAAGGGACAAAGGACGCCTTCATACGTAACAAGTGTTTAAAAAGGATACCTTCTAAATCTTCCAGCTTCTCTTTGGTTATAGACTCCAGATCTCTAACTTCTTTTGAGTTAGCCTGTCCACTACCACTTAATTCTGCCACTTGTTTCTTAAGCTGAAACAGGGCCTGATCTTTCTCTTGCAGCTCAGTTTCATGTTTCTCTTGAATTTCATGCAGTTCAGCATTGTATTTATCCTTAACTTTTGTCATTTCAAGCTCATGTTTCTCCATCATGTCTCTTAATTGGGCTCTCATTACGTGTTTCTCAGCATCCAGTTTAGACTGGAGGTTTTCTTTTTCAGACAGAAGACGTTTCAGGTTTTCATTTATCTCCTGTAAAACAAAAAAACCAAAAACCACACCTTTACCTTTTAATGCAAAGTATTTTTCATACCAGTGCAAAGTATTATATATTTATTCCTACATACATTATAAACAGAAATCAGTGCTACCCTTGGTACCCTGCCTCTACTACAAAAGCTGCTCAGCTCTGAATTGCCAAGAGATAAGCAGGGACTTCAGCAAAACAGCATCATTATTTGAGTGCAAACTACATGCAACCTCTCCCACAGGTGAAAATGGAGTGAAAAAGAATGTTTGGTTCTGTGAAACAAAAAAAAAAAAAAAAACAAAAAACCAGAAGCAGATCTTTAACAGTGATCCCAAAGATTAAGAATGCTCACCACAATGCCTCCCAGGTATTGTCACCTACATCCATTAAAACTGAAGTTGGCAAATGGATCTAGTTGTTCTTTACAACATTTTGTTGCTAACTCGTTTTCTGATAGTGTTTATTCTACTTTTACTGCCTTTATAGTAGTTATTTTAATACATAAAGAGGTAGAAAAGATTACAGACCACTGTAATGGAGCAGTCCGCTTGCATTAGACCTGCTGTTAAAAAAAAAAAACCTACTGTCATGATACATAAACCTAGGAATATAAACTGCCCAAGAAGGTGTGCAGAATAGCAGAGGGAACATTTCCAAAATATCGTTAAAGCTGCTTATGTAAATAAAGCAAGGTTTCCTGCTGTTTTAATACTAAAGTGAAGATTCCATTACAGTTTGAAGCGCTTTAAGTTCATGTTGTCATAGTCAAACCTTCCCTCAAGGTGAGCATTTCTGGCCCCTCAATGCGCTAGCACTAGGTACCATCAGTATAGGAGCATGAGTATAGGAAGATGCATCTAACCCAAAAGAAAAACCAACAATAAAATGCCACGTAAGGCAGGAGGCATAACAAATGGAAAAGACAAATGAAACAGGGCATCTACGTGGGTGCATAGTTGGAACTAGTTCTAGTAAGATTTTGATTCTGGCAGCCCTCTTGGTAAGTGGAAAATTTGTTGGCAATAATATAGCTAAAATGCTGAACCTGGAACCCCAGACAGCCTAAATGTGTCTGTCTCAGCGGAGTCCCAAAAGCTGATCTGAGAGACTGCAACATCCTTTTCCTACACTGCTGAACTGAAGCAGCAGCACTCAAAGACTATGATCAGTTCATGCTAGGTGCTTAAACACAAAGTACCTTGATTTGCAATCAGTAGAAATACAGCAAAAGGAAAGGCAGACTATTACCAAAACACTCTCTTGGGGGGAAAAAAAAAAGCCTCAGTTTTAGGGCTCACTGCTAGAGAAGCTGAAGTCTTTTGACAGGAAAAAAAAGTCTTCCCTACATGGCAAGTTCCCAAAATGAATCAAGACAAACTTTTGGCGAGAGTTGACAGTTTTATATTTTACGGACTTTACGTCTCCTTCAAGTTAATTTCCTAACTGGAATTAGTATTTGTTTGCACAACCATGGTTGCATTATTAGCACATGCCAAAGCCTCCCAGAGAACTGCCTAAATGCATTAGGCAAAATTATTTTTTGTGCACAAACAGCTTTTTCAACTTATATTAGATCCGATGAGTTTAGTTGGGTACATGTGCTATTTCTTACTTTCAGTTGCTGGTCCTTGGCATCCAGTTCCTTTTGCAAGACATCTATCACCTGTGTCCTTCCCAGCATGACTTCTTCTTTTTCATGGAGCTTCTGTTTCAAGGCCTTTAGTAGCTAGCAAAAAAATAAAAAAAAAAAATTAAAAAAAAAAATAATCAAGCAATCAATAAAGGAATTAAAACTTTCATAAGAGAAAGACTTATTTTTATTTTCCCAACCAGACATCTGAACTGTGCTGCAGAGGTTAGCAATTACGTGATTCCGAATTCCCATGTCTAACTAAATCAAAGCAAGCTACTGAGTTTCCAAAGCAACGTACCTGTTCTAGGTCAGCACTTGCATCAGATTTAGCAGCTAATTTAAAGAGCTCCTGCTCATGCTTTTCTCTCTGTGCTTCCAGTTCCTTTTCCTTTTCCTGGATAATATTTTGAAACACACGTACCTAAAACCACATAGCAAGTAAATATGAAAGCAGTCCACAAAGGTAGAGTAGCAGTACACTTAACTGTCTAACAAAGGTACAGCAAGATAACACATTCTATCTTAAGTCCGATTTTTGCTTCCACTTAACAGTAAATACCTAATCAGTCAGTGATTACTGACGTCAGTGGTTCATGAAGATAAACCTCCAACTTACAGAAAGTTTGCCTCAATTCCACAATAACAAACTTTAAATGAGAAGCACGGTACTGTTAATTTTTGTTTAACACCACAGATCTTCACCTTTCCTTTTTGGATGCCATTGTTCTGAGACTTCCAATTTCTAGAAGATTGCACTGATTATGTTCATTTCTAGCAAGTTTTTATCAATTAAGCCCAAATGGCAGATTTGAAACCTAGCTGCCTCCTCCTCAAAAACTTGTATTTTATGTCCAACATGACTTTGTTAGCTCCCTTACAATTTTTGTAAGGCCTGGATATAACTTTTGGAATCTCGCTAATGCTAGTTTGAATAAATTCACATGAATCATGGAATCGTTTAGGTTGGAAAAGGCCTTTAAGATCATCGAGTCCTACCCAGATTTATATCTGAGTGACGATATTGTGCTCACCAAAATTACTTTTATAGTCTCAACCATTTGTCTTTTTCTTTCTTTCCTGCATCAAAACTAATTCCCTGCATGCTACTGAACAGCTGTGGTCATGTTCAGGATCAAAAGCAGCATTTTTGTTACAGATAAAATAAACTCAGACATCAAATGTTGTGGGAAATCCTGAGATGAGTAGTTTCATACGTGGTAGAACTCAAATGCGGAGAGATCAGACGTATCACATTAAGATCTGTCACTTAGCTTCCAAGGGAGTTGGAATGGGTAACATGCTCCCTAGTTCCGCTTTTTTTTTTCTTTTTTTTTTAGTATTATTTAAGAAAGTTTTTGTTGTTTGTCTTGGCCTGTTAATCAGCTGCTAACTTCTAGAAAAGTTTCCCATTAAGTACACCAAACTTCTTCAGCTATTTTTCAGTCAGGAGGAAAATACAATTTTTTCCATGCTGTCATGCTAAAAAGTGTGCCAGAGAGCTCACAGCACAAGAGAAAGCGATCTGCCAAATAGCCATTTGTGCCAAGAACGATTACAATAATCCAAAACCAATACCAGCCACTGCATGTGTGCATTTTTGCATCTTCAAATGTGGCGCTACAAGAAAGAGATGCTTGGAGGTTCTTTAACTGGAATTCTGAACAACTCATTTCACTCTGTTCCTCTGTGCCCGAACACCAGCTGCACCCTTAAACTCCCTTCTTGTATAAAACTTTCAACTTCAGTGATGACCAGCACAAACCATCTAACTGCTTCATTATTCTCATTTCATCTGATCACCACATAGATCTTTACCCAAGAATCATCCTAAATGAAAAACAGCACTTCTTAACTACTGAGATAGAAACACTACAACCAAGACACAACTCGTTCCACCAAAGAATCTAAGTATTTTTACAGTGTGTTCACTTACATTTTCCATATATGTAGCTTCTTTTCCTTGGAAACGTTCTCTTTCTTTGCTCTGAATATTTTTAAGACTCTCAATCTGTTCCTGGAACAAGCTACATTTTTCTTCACTGTCTCCAACCTTCTTGGTAAGGTTCTGAACTAGAATCTGCATGCTTTGTAGTGATGACTCTTTAACAGCCAGCTGATTCTTTAGAATGCATATCAAAAAACAATTAAAAGAACAGACGCAGAAAAAAGATAAAGCAATCATCATAAAGCCACCTCCCAGCCCTTCCCTCAGTTAAAGCAACATTTAACTCAAAATTCAGATTTGGTTCTCATTTGAATGAAGTTTGTCAGCAGATTCTGAAGTTGATACTAACACTTATAAATGGTACTGACAAGAAGAAGTAAATAAACATAGATCTACTAATATAAACTAAAATAATCAGTACAGAATTTGTATTCACATGAATAACTGCAGAGGATTTGTGCTTCAGAGAAGGATCCACTGTATAACACACGAGAATTCGTTGATTCCTTGAAACCTCTATGGAGATTTTATATTTGAGCTGCTAATGTACCTTCAACTCTTCACTGGGCAAGAGTATTTCATTGGCAACACCACTTGATCCACACGCTATCTGTAAATCGATGATATAAGCATCTCTTTCGGCTAACTTCTTTTCTTTCTCTGCCAGCATGGCATCCATTTCAGCCCCACGACAGCGCTGGGCCTCCAGTTCAACACTCTGAAAATGAAAAGACAGCATCACTTGCAATCTGTACTTGCACTACCTAGAGCACGGAACAGATTGCATTATTTCCTTATTGCCTGTTTTAGCGTACTGAAAAAATTACAATTGAATTTATAGCCTGGTTCAGTTTTAAATGTAACCTTTAATTACTGAGCCTTTTTCTCTGAAATTCTGCAGCATTCACACTCCTGCCACTTTCTACAGTCAACAGTCATCTCCACAAAACACAGCACTGCACACACAGCTACAAACCGGAACATCAAATCATCCCTTGTCTACATTTCTTCCTGTTATGACTTATTTTTGCAACAAGAAAAATTGAAGCAAACCAGAATTTTTGCCCAAAATACAAGATTTAAATATAACATGAACCCACAAAGTTCATATTTGTGCACCCTATTACATTAATTTTCAAACTACTACAGAAGCATCCTTGAAGATTCACTGCTCACTGAAGACACAATGACAGATTTCTCGCTGTGTTTGCTCAGGCAGGTTGTAGCATATAACCTGCTCTGTCTACTCAACAGAAAACTCTCAAATGTTTAGTAACGTAACATTTAATTAAATATATAAATATATTTAAACACAATCCTATACCACAAATGTGAAAAGCCACACATTTGGCATCATATAAAACACCACCTTTTTTTGTAACTCTTCATTTTTTTGTGTGATCTGGGATTCTAGTTCTTCAATTCTCCTTCTCAGTACTAATATTTTCCCGCGATTTGCTGCAGCATTTTCCTGGTCACCATCTTTTGATGCCTGCAAAAACAGGGAGTTTTGCATTCTGTAAATAGGTAACACCTGACTTCTGTACCTCTACCTATTCAGATAATACTAGTGAGAAAATGTGGACTTTTACCCATGGTTTGCGTTTCAGTTCTCTAATATATTACATATTCCATGTAGAAGGTAGAAAAATCAGGCACAGAATTTGTATGAAGCTTGTCAAAATCTTTGTAAATTATTAATGATAATTATTGCTTCGAAGCAGACTGGAATGTGCAATAAGGGCATTCATTTCCTCTGGATATTGTAGCCCATATAATCTGGCAAGTGTAGTCCATATAACTCGGAGGGAAAAAAGGACTATTGGGGGTGGGGTGTGGGGTGGAAGTGTAAATTAAACTGCTCCTAAGCATAATGTTTCCAATCAGAATATCAGTAGGTAGAACTACTGGGTTACAGAAAGTATTTGCCATTACAAAAGAAGTCAAGTGCAGTTGCTAAGAATAAGTTTTATTAGCAAAATAGATCAGAAGCATAAATAATTAGCTACTACGTGTCTTTGAGGACACCTAGGGACTTCAACAAACTGATCTGTTGCTGTTCCCTTTCAGCATACCTTTAAAAACAAATGCCCTAGAAATATTAAAGCCTCGCTAGAGTTATTTTAGAAGATGTATGAAGTCAAAACACGCTCTT